ATATATTTCGCTATCACAACGATCGGAGTCAGAATAGTGACAGTTGCTGATGATTTGAGGAAAATGAACACAAAAACACATCAGGTGCATAACTGCCCTCTCAAAGGCCCAGTGCTCGGAGACATGTCTCATAATATGAATGAAAAAGTCTCAGCAAGCACGCAAACACTGCCCTAGCGCTACCAGGAATCCTTTATAGATGCACATCATGAAATAAAGCTATACCTGGTCTTCAGCACGGACAGTCAGAGTGTCTTGGTTTAAAAGGTGGGTGACGCGTTTCACATCAAGCTGCAGAAACTCGTCTGTCTTGTAAACTTCAGTGAAATGTTGATGAATAAAGTCATCTGCTGTAGCTTTCAATTCTGGGCAATCAAGACATTCTGCTAGCACACTAATGCCTGGAAGCACAATGAGACAAAACTGATCATAGTTAGTCGGTTAGTTGGACGATTATTTTTTCGATCAGATAAAAAGTAATTAAATACCACTCTTAATTTAAAATAAAATACACAAATGCCGTGTTACAAACATAAAGTTTACTTCAGAATAAAACTGCATGCACAATTTTTGCAATCGCACTTCACAAGAACGCACGGCATTGCGCTACCGTGCATTCCAGTGCGAGTGATCACAGTGTGGGTAGGAGGCATGTTTGGGGTGCCATTAAAATGACTGGCACTGCAACACACCTCCCGCAGCAGAATTTGTCAGGCCGAAACTGAAAACTACTTTTTTCCCACCTTTTATAATTATTGTTTTTAATAATAGTATTTGTAAGCACATGGCACTTGAATAGCTTCAGCCAGGGAATGACAGTTGCCAGTGGCAAGATTGCGCAGACGGCAGCTGAATGTAAATACAGCAGGTAGTGGGCTGGTGCAATACCCATTCTGCAGCTCAGCGAAGCTAGTCCCCCTACAATCGGCACAAATAAAAATTCCAGCGTGTTTCTTTAGTGCTATGTTTGTGCTGTTTTGTGCCGTAAAAATTAACATTTGTGCTGCTTTTATTTTTAAGATAATAGCATTTGTTTAGTTTTTTTAAGATGATGACATCACCCAGCCCCCCAACACAGCAAAAAAACATGAAACCGGCCTGGTTAGTTAGTGCCATGTTTGTGCTGGTTTGGACTATTGAAATCGCCATTCTATCTCCTTTCTTTATCGCGTTAGTAACTATTTATTAAATGTCACCAAAGGTCACCCAGCCCCCCTACAACAGCCAAAAGACATGGAACCAGGTTGGCTGGTTAATAGCATGTTTGTGCTGGTTTGTACCATAAAAATGTACATTTGTGCAGCTTTTATTTTTAAGATAACAGCAATTATCTTAAAACCAAAGCGTACCTTTGGTGACCTTTAAATGCTGTTATCTTAAAAATTAAAGCAGCACAAATGTAAATTTTTACGGCACAAACCAACCAGTTGGGTTTCATGTCTTTTGGCTGTTGTAGGACGGCTGGGTGACCTAAATAGTTACTAACTCCAAAACGAAAGGGAGATAGAATGGAGATTTCAACTGTGCAAACCAGCACAAATGTGGCACTAACCAATCAGCCTAGGTTTGTGTCTTTTGGCTGTTGTAAAGGGGGCTGGGTGATGTCATCATCTTAGAAAAAAAACAATTGCTATTATCTTAAAAATAAAATCAGCACAAATGTTAATTTTTACAGCCCAAACGTGGCACTAAGCAACCAGCCAAGTTTCATGTCTTTTGTAGGGGGGCTGGGTGACCTTTAATAAATAGATAATAACTTGAAAACTAAAGGAGATTTAAAATGGCACAAACGTGGCACTAACTATCCAGCCCGGTATCATGTCTTTTGGCTTTTCTAAGGCCGACTGGGTGATGTCATCATCTTAAAAAAACAATTGCTATTATCTTAAAAATAAAAGCAGCACAAATGTTAATTTTTACGGCACAAAACAGCACAAACATAGCACTAAAGAAACACACTGGAATTTTTATTTATGCCGATTGTAGGGGGGCTAGCTTCGCTGAGCTACAGAATGGCTGTCACTGAAGCTATTCAAGCGCCGTGTGCTTACAAATACTATTGTTTAAAAAAAAAAATCAGTTTCGGCTTTACAAATTCTGCTGCAGGGCACTGCAGGACAGGAGGTAAGTTGCAGTGTCATTCAAACGCAATCTGCCTACAATACAATTATTTTTTTTAAATGTTTTAAAAAAGGTGGCAAAAAAATAGTAATTTTTGGTTTTGGCCTGACAGTTTCTGCTGCAGGAGGTGTGTTGCAGTGCCAGTCATTTTAATAGCACCCCAAACGCGCCTCCCACCCACAGTGTGATCGCCCGCACTGGAATGCACGGTACCACAATGCTGTGCGTTCCAGTGCAGTGTGATTGCAAAAAAATTGTGCATGCAGTTTTACCGGAGTTTTTATTTGTGCTGATTGTAGGGGGGGCAGCTTTGCTGAGCTCCATTCTGCTATTGGCCATTTCAGATTGGAATAGTCAATAGCAGGCTGGCTATTGCACTCGCCCACGGCTTGCTGTGCCCTCCTCCCAGCGTGGAGGAGAGAGCTAGGGTATCCAACCAACTAATCGATAATGAAAATAGTTGACAACTATTCTCATTATCGATTAGTTGGTTGCAGCCCTAATCATATTTAATTTATTTCTGGCTGCATTAATACAGAAAAAGGTGTATTTCAACAACTGTGTTGAAAGATGTCCAATACCTTGATGCACTACATACTGTTGTGCTAAGCCAAATGAGTCCTGAATAAAAGAAGCTGTCCAGAAACAGCCCAACAAACCACTTAGATCATCCATTTTGGGTGGACTTATCCTTTCGAGCATCTCCATAAAGAGTTCTCACAACGACCCAGAAAACAGTAGGTCCACCTGCACTCCTTACAGAGCTTCCGGTCCAAGTGGAAATAGTGGTGCTCGCAGTGACAATCACGGATGGTGCCGTGTACAACTGTCAATGAATGATATAAATCACCAGCACTCCGTAAATGATTTTTTTTTTTTAAAGTCCATTTATTTGGACTAACCGTCACACATAACGCATAATCCAACGTTTCGGGACCACGCAGGGTCCCTTTATCAGGGCAGAGATGTGACGTGAGATGTGACACAGAGATTTGTCACATCTCTGCCCTGATGAAGGGACCCTGCGTGGATTATGCAATATATGTGACGTTGCTGGTGATTTCTATCATTCACTCACAACCACCCAATCACTAATTCTTAGCATTCCTACCCAATGATAGAGCAACGTGGAATGCCACAAGTCATACAGCGTCTAAAGAAGGTTTACAGTCCAAGTCAAAGATGCAGGATTTCTAATCCACTTAAGGCATTACTACACAGATCAAATAAATATACTGCATGTGCATTATAATGACGGTATGCACATAATGCACATGATTGCTTGGAGGACCTCTCTCCCAGTTTGAAGGAAACAACTTCATCCTTTTATACATGTTAATAAATATTTCCATCTTACCTAAGCAGTTTGATGCATCCACCTGCTCTTTCAGGAAATCAACACACATTCTTTTGACAGGCTCTATCTGGTATTGATTAGCTGCATCCAACAGGGATTGCACATTGTTGCTATTCACTGAAATTCTAACAAAAACAAAAAAAAATTACAAAAAAAGTATACAAACAAATGTAAAACAAAATATTTATTCTTTAAATTGTTGCATTTGATATTTTTAGAGCCATTTTGTAGCAAAACAAAAACAGTGACAGATGCACTAATGTGAACCGAACCGCCAAGTAGCTTTTCATAGATTTTTGGCACCATGTTCCAAGTCTACAGATTTATTAGTAGAAGGTCCCATTAAAAAAGTCTAAAGGTGACCATACGCTAGTAGATTTTCGAAAGAACTTTCATACGAAACATCATTCGTTCAACTTTCTATTAGTTAATGGGGGCAAATAGATCATCAATTTTGACCATAGTGACAAAAAAAGTCAAAGGAGCAGGATGGAACATTTTTCTCGAACAAATTAAATTCTAATAGTGGATGTGGTTCTCATTCGGGAAACTCCATTCGTTCCAAAATCAAATGTTAAAATAAAACAAGATTTCGTTTGAGATTCGTCAAGTCTGTGATGGCATTATCAGGTGGCAAAGAAAGACCTTTTGTTGGTAAAGAAAGATCCTTTGTTCGGAAATCTACTAGTGTATGGCCAGTTTAAGAGAATCTACCATACAGGCACTGCTGTCAGTCACCTCTCCCCACAGGGATTCCTCCCTTCCCTCTCCGATCCTTCAGCGCTCAGTGGAGGCACGAACAGGGGAGGGGGTGGGCACAGCTGGTTCTGCCTCTAGATAAGCAGAGCCCACTGTCAATCAGCTAGCGGGGTGGATCTCGACAGTATTGTCGGGATCCATCCCGGCTGCTGTGTTCGCAGCATTGCCCGCTATATACTGAGTTTTGGGTTAGGGGAGGACGTTAGTATATGTCCTTCCGTGACCCTAAAGAGAACTATGGGATAAAAATGGTACCCCATAGTTCTCTTTTAAATATCATAATCTGTGCTAACAAATACACAAACAACTTACTGGAAGAAACCCACGAAAAGGCAGCAGAAGATTTAATTAATACCTTGCAGTGTATGCAAACTCCACCAGCTGCTCTATGATGTCTGGTTCTGCATCTTTAAGTTCTACTTCGAAAGACTTTGATTCAATCATGTTGGCTACGAAGAGAAAAAAAAAAAAACCTAATGAAAATGCAAATGTAATACAGAATTTCAAGAAATCCATACTTCTTCCACACATACTTCTGCTACAGCGTCTGTTCTTTCGCAGAGCACCAGATGGTCGATTTGCTGAAAAAGGATATCATGTATTAGGGCTCTAAAACTACTTTTTCAGTAATGGACTTAAACATGAAAAAAAAAAGGAGATTGCAATAGATATCTGCTTTTATTAAAATAAATATGTATTTGTATGGGCCATCCATGATTTAATAGGTGGGGAGAAACTTTTGTGATGTGTGACAAGGGGAAACCTGAAAACCGACTGAAAACCTAAAAGGAATAGCCCAGCTTTTGCAAAAAAATGTAATAAAATGCACACACATTAATAAGGTATGGACGTTCAGCTAAGGGGCAGGAAAAAGTATGAATGGACTGCAAGAGTGGTGATGTTCATGGATGGGCGCATGGGGTTGGGGATGTCACCGTGTTTCATGTCACACCCTGGATATGGGAATAACATGAAACATGGTCCAATATGTAAATTGTAGCCTCCAACAGAACATCACTATGGTTTTGTACAGCTCATCTTAAGTAGACCTAAACCTGAAGTCATTATTGGCATAACTTGAAGTGTGGCACAGCTGTTGTGATCTAGTTTTGACTGTCTGATACTGATACTGATACTCAGAGCATGCAGGTCAAAATCAAATGATAAAAAGGAAGTCCAATTGAGCGAATCTTGGGTACCTTTGTGTCTGCCAAAGCCTCCACCTACTTGTAACGGACCTTCTTTTACTGTGTCTGACCTCTTGCTGACAGACCATACCAGGGGCGTCCCGAGGCCTGGTGTCACCCGGAGCGGAGACCGGGTGACACCCCGTCGTGATGTCATCGCGTACGCAATGCCGTCATCGCGCAGTCATCTTATAGACGCCTGCCGGCAGCCATCTTCGTGATGGATGCCGGCAGAGAGAGGAGGGGGCGTTTACCCGGTGGGATGAGGTATGCCACCGGGTGCCCTCCTCTCTCCTGACATTGTCAGGCTCTCAGTCCATGACCAAGTACCCGACTTTTCAGAGGGGGCTACACCAAAATGATTGTCAGTCATTTTGGTGTCATCCATCCAATGAAGTCACCCGGGTGCGGGCTGCACCCCCCGTGATGCCACTGGACCATACTAAACTTAAAAAACCATACCTACCTTTTCCCCGGCTTCAAAAGTGTAGAAAGTCACGTCACTATCCCGCCGAGGAGAACCCAGGCATTGTTGAGTAATTCAAATCTAGGGAGAAGATGCTGTAGCACATTGCAGGATCATCTTCTAAGTGAGATTGATTTGGGCTACTCAACATTCCTCAAGATCTTTATTTGACCAACCAGAGAACCGCTGGATCGTTCAATTTAAATTCTTAAACAGGATAAGGGACACAACCAAGAATTGCGATGGCCGCATGTGGCCAGAAAAACATCCCAATGACATACCTACGAAGGTAAAACATCCAGGCAGATTCAGCTGCAGTGGGCAGGCTAGTTTCATTCTGGAGATGCATCTGTATGTTGGCCTGACCTACAAGTGACCTGACAAAGCTCACCGGTGTGTAACCCACCCAGACGTGTGACTAGAATATATGATGAAAACCTCTCCTAGGATTACAAGATACACGCTTAGGCCTGGTTCACACTGAGCGTTTTGTAGCGCTTTTTCTGCCGTAAAAAAAATCCCATTCATTTCTATGGCCCTGCTCACATCTGAGTGTTTTGCTCCAGTAAGCAAACGGCCTGTTGCTTGAAAAAGTTCAGAAAATAATGGCACCACCTGCGCGATCCGCGGTGGTGGGCGATTCTGTGACCGTGCATTGCTTCCAATGGGATATGTAGTCTTGAGACATTGAAACTGCATCACATCAAGCACCATGGAGAGAGACACAAAGCACACTGGGAATCCAGGAAGTTGGTGAAAGTGACGGGCAGACAGAAGGCAGCACTCACTACATAAAAGGGATTTTTTTTTAAAGTAAGCTTTGATTACATTATCAAAAACAACTCTAGTATGTATTCCTATTACAATGCTGATGTTATAACAGGACAGTATATGCTGTGACTTCAGTACTCCTTTAAGGTGGCTTTGTGGACTGTATTATGACACAGCCATCAATTTGCACACATACATCACAGACAATCCAATGAAATGCTACAAATGTGTAGAGAACAGTGGCAGACATCATTTGCCCAGTGATTGATACATCTGCCCAATGCCACACACAGAAAATACTTACTGGTAAACATCAGGTTAAAGAAATGACTGGCAGCTGCCAAAACCACGCGATGAGCTGGGATCTTTCTGTCTTGCACCATCAGAATAACATCACACAAGGTTTTCTAAAACGCATAATGAAAAGAAGAGAGCATGAGCATGAGACATTGTGAAGCCAGAAAACTGGAATTATAAGACGCGGCTCTATGTGCTTAGCATTCTGCAATATACACTGCCTGGCCAAAACAAGTCACCACTTGGATCTAGCTAAGCAAATAGGTCAGAGCTATAGGGGGGTTGCTTCATTTGATCGGGTCCAGTTTCAGCAACGGTATGTCCCCAAAAAATGAGCTCAGCTGCCTACCTGAATATACTGAATGACCAGGTTTTTCCATCAATGTATTTTTTCTTCCCTGATGGCACTCTGTACATATTCCAAGATGACAATGCCAGGATTCATCGGGCTCAAAGAATGGTTCAGGGAGCATGAGACATCATTTTCACACATGGTTTGGTCACCGCAGACCTTAAAAGGAGAACTATGAGGCGAGTGATTTTCACTCAGCCTCATAGTTCTAGCCGACCTGTGACTCCCCCCCTCCCCGATCCGCGATCTAGCCGACCTGGGATTCCCCCCCTCCCCGATCCGCCAGCGCTGACTGGAGGAACGGACGGGGGAGGGGGCTGGTACAGCTGGCTCTGCCTCTAGATAGGCAGAGCCAGCTGTCACTCACACAGCTGGGTGGATCTCTACAGTAATGTCGGGATCCGCTCCGGCGTCTCGGTATACTGCGAGCTGTAGCTCTCGGTATAGTGAGCGTTGGGTGACGGGAGGACGCTAGTTTGTGTCCTCCCGTTACCCTAAGGAGAACTATGGGGAAAAGCCCTGACCCCATAGTTCTCCTTTAATCCCATTGAGAAGATTGTGCTGGAGAAGACATTTTGCAGTTGTCTGACTCTCCCTTCATCACTACAAGATCTTGGTAAAAAATGAAAACAACTCTGGACAGAAATAAATGTTGTGACATCGCATAAACTTATCGAAACTATACAACAGCGAATGTGTACCAAAATTAAAGCTGAAGGCGGTCCAATTAAATATTAGAGTGTGTGACTTTTTTTTGGCAAGGAAGTGTACAATGGTGCTCACAAGATTGCATACCCCCTGGCAGAAAATGTTAGATGTGAACCATTTGTTTAAGAAAACATAAGTTCAGACCAAACGCATCTCTTCATTTGAATCAAATGAAACATTGCAGAATAACATAACCATTAAACACACCACACATCTATATCTAGGACATTATAAACTGGTCTTGTTGTAACTTGTAAAGTTTGCATACTCTTAGTTCCTTTGTCTTAATAAAGACTCTATGAAAGTTTTCAGATCTCAATAAAAAAAAAAAAAAAGACAAATACAAGATATAGACAGTGATGTGCATATCAAAGTTAGGAGGCCAGCCGCTGGCTCCCACCCGCCCTCTACATAATAAAAGATGTGACAATACACTTCTGTTGATTATCAATGTCGGTATCCCCAAGTGGTATGGAACCCTGGTGCCGTAGAACCGTAGAGTATATGGTTGGGACGATAAAGGCAACATGTAGGCTCAGGATTCTGCAAGCTTCAAGTGGGTAAATTTGGCAAAGTCTACATCAGGATTTGGATTGTGAGGTGGGACATTCGGGGCCTACATCTCACCTGTAGAAACAGGAAAGTAGTAAGGAGAAGGAAAGAGAACAAGATGGTAGAAAAAGAGAGTTGTATCCCACTGGCTCCATCACGCTGGGAGCATACCCTTAGTTCTTAATATTGTATATCCCCCTCAGCATCAATGACCACTTACAATCTTTTGTGACTGTTGTGAATGAGGCCCTTTACTTTCTCATGTGGTAACGCTGCACCTTTTTCTTGACAAAATGCCTCCAGGTCTGGTAAATCTTTTGGTTGTCTAGCGTGAACTGTGTGTTTGTGAACTCCCCTTGGTGGTTCGCACTGTATATCACACCTGCCCCCAAAAAGGAGAGATCCATCGCCATGCTTCACGGTAGGTCTTGTGCGCTTCTCTTCATAGGCCTTGTTGACTACTCTCCAAACACAGTGTTTATTGCTGTGACCATTAAGATCAATTTGGTCCCATCACTCTAAATTATTTTGAGGCTTCTCTAGATGCTGTTTGGGGTATTTTGGCATTAGTGCAATAAAGATGGCTTACATTTTACAAATTCTGCCCGGCCTATGTAAACTTCTGAGCACAACTGTACCTACTACGGGGGAAATTTATCATAACTGGAGCAGACAGAATCTGTAACAGCTGCCTATAGCAACCAATCAGCTTCTCTCTTCAGTTTTTGTTCAGTTAATCTGCGAGATAAAAGAGAGAAGCTGATTGGTTGCCATGGACAACTGCTCCAGATTCCCTTTGCTCCAGTTCTGATACACTCTCCTCTATGAATGGTTAGTTTGCATTACATGATTTTTATGGACTTTTTTCACACTACCACTACACACTTAGACCCCATTCACACCAGAGCGACAGCATTTTCCATGCGCGTTTCACAGGCGTCTTCTGTTTATAAGCAATCTCGTTTTAAGACGTGGTTGCAGCTCGTTTTACAGTTGTCCAATGAAAAGAAGTATCCGCTGCAAAAATGTGCTAAAAAAAAATGCACTGATTAGCGCGTTTACATTGAAGTCTATGGAGAAAAATGGGCTGATAAGCAGCACAAAAAAAGCCCATGGACTATTTCAAACACCAGGTGTTTTTTGTTGTGCAATTCAGCGTGAACAATCCCCATAGGAATACATGGGATTTTATGTTGCATGCGTTTCAGCGTGGGAAAAAAACGCCTTGGTGTAAATGGGGCCTAAAAAACGGATTCCAGAACTGACTCTGACCATCTTAGTCCAGCTGTGTATACCACTGCAGCTTATTTAGAACTAAACGCACATTTGAACGTTTAGCAATGTACAATTGTGTCTGATGAAGCGCAATGATTGGACAGTGTAGAAAATTTAGTATGATTATTAGAATTTGTAACAATCATAATGAGTTGTGACACCAGACATTTGAGGGCTTCAATGTTTGGTTGAGAGCTGAAATAAGCAAACTGACAACCTTGACAGTCGGCATGCCTTGCAAGGAACTGTTTTGGGAGACATTAAATTGGTGGGTAAAGCTCCTTTCCAGTCCTCATTCACACTGGCCTCGTGTGTTTATATGCAGAGATCTGTCAGTCTAGATGCTTTGTTTATGCTTCTAGATGTTAAAAATGACGTGCACACATATACGTTTACATGCATCTGTCCTTTGTCCATCGAAGTAGACAATGAGATTTCAAGAAATAAACGCGTCTTGCATTACATACGTTTTGGTGCGTTTAGAAGCTCACATCAATTCCTAAACGCACCTGACTTCTATTTTTCCTAAACGCAGCAAAACATGCTGCAGATAAAAGCATCTAAACGCAAGGTGTGAATGGATCCATTGGAGATCGTTATATATGTATATATATATTGGATGTTGGAAGTATCTTCAATGTCCTCTTTATTTTGGGGACACCCGTTCCCCTCATTGCCGACACCCGTTCCCCTCATTGCCGACAAACGTTCCCCTCATTGACGACAAACGTTCCCCTCATTGACGACACCCGTTCCTCTCATTGCCTACACCCGTTCTCCTCATTGCCGACACCCGTTCCCCTCATTGCCGACACCCGTTCCCCTCATTGCCGACACCCGTTACCCTCATTGCCGACACCCGTTACCCTCATTGCCGACACCCGTTACCCTCATTGCCGACACCCGTTCCCCTCATTGCCGACACCCGTTCCTCTCATTGCCGACACCCGTTCCCCTCATTGCTGACACCCGTTCCCCTCATTGCTGACACCCGTTCCTCTCATTGCCGACACCCGTTCCCCTCATTGCTGACACCCGTTCCTCTCATTTCCCCCTCAAGTATAAAACATGAGAGAAAACTCCCCAATGTATTGAAAGAAAGCACTAGAACCCTGGCAGGGGTTTTACCCTTTCCCCACTCTATCCAAGACTTGGTTGTGACTGCTGTTGGGTCTTAGTGAAAACCTGTGGCTGGCTGCTTCCTTTCATACACAGGGATCTGTTTATAATGGAGAATAGCACTATCTGCAGGTCATTGAAATATTTACTTAAAACTTCACAATTATTGGATAAAATGTGCAGTGCCGTGTGGATCCTGTGGTGCCATTAGAAATGCTGCACAGGACACTATGGGATAGGCGCAGAGCCATGTCAAAGTCATGTGACACGTTTTCTCCTCCTGTCACTCTTAAAGTGGACCTTTACCCCCTGTCACTAAACATCAGCGCAGAACATAACTCTGCGTGCTGATATGAAATCATCTGACTTTCACTAGTTGAAGAAACATGTTTTTCTTTTACTTCCTGGTCCTCTTAGGCATTAGTGATGCAAGCCTGTGCCTGAGATGCATCCTGGGAAGGTTACATCACAGAACATTGCTGGGAAATCTCATCTGTAATCTGCAGAATCTCACGAGATCTTAGGAAAAGGCAATTTCCTCCCCTGAGATGATGTGCATGGCCACGTGTCCTAGTCACATGTGCCAGAGTTCCAGGAAGTAAAGGGAGAGCTGGTAACCAGCCCTTAGTAAAAACAGCCGTTCTACAAAGAATGGATAGTAAAGAGAAATGAGGTATGCACAGACTACAAAGCCAGCGATTACCTAGAAGTATGTGTTTGTAGATTGCCATTACTAAACATTTCTAATGGTGCCGTTGTTGTCATTTTAAAGATACGGGTGAGGTTCCTCTTTAACTTGTTTCATGGCTCTGCAGGCACATATGGAAGGCATAAGATGAGTATTCTTTTCTTTTGAAAGCAGCAGTGTGGCCATAGCTTTTTAAATCGGTGCCCGAAGTCACCGATACAGAACACAAATACAGATAAAGTGTTTTTCTCCAGGTTTCCTCATCTGTATCCCTCTGCCTGCAGCTAAAGCTCTTTTTTAAAATTTTGGATAGATTAGAAGACGGATAAACCCACTGTCGGGTTTTTTTTTCTGTTTCTCATTATGGAGATTCCCCTTCACTTCCTGCCTTGTAAACTCAACAGGAAGTGAGAGGA